GACAGCTCGCAAGTACCAAAATTGAGTTCTCTTTCGCGTCTTCATCAGCAAATGTACACAAAATTATGTGAGAATGACTGTCTTGACAAGTATCCACACAAACACGTATTGTTTCTGACCCGCTCTTCATCCCAAACCAGCAGGTTCAAGACTTCTTCCACCCATAATGGTAGTACTGCTCGGTTCCCTTACCTTGTCAGCTCAAATGCATAAGCAGTTGTACTTATTATGGCTCAACAGTCCTTTCAAGTTCATCTTCCTCCATTTCAAAGCAAGCATGCATTCAAAAAGTAAAGAGATGCTTATATTTCTTCACTGGTCAAAGGAGCGAACCAACCCCGTGATGTCACATGCTTTTGCAAGATGACGGCGCCCTTGCTCCAAAAGCTATAACAAAACATCTTTTTTTTTCTTTAATATGGTTACATTAATCATGTTTGTTATTGATTTTTTCATTAAAGTGAAAATCACTTTACTAAATTGTGTAAACTTGACTGACTGCTTCACTTCCACTTTAAGTCTTGTTTTCTAAAAAAAAAATGTACAATTAAGTGAATTTATATTTAAAACAAGAAAAAAAAGGTAAAAAAATATATATTTTTCCCCTTTGAATTAAGTTGTTATTATTTAATTAATTTTTTTTCCTCGCTTTAAGCATAAACTCGCTTAATTCTGATATATTAACATCTATAATCATTTTGTTTCTCAATGCATCTTTATTCAAGACTGTTTAGATATTTTTTCTGGAAAACAAAACCTTTTTTTATTTAGGTGCACCTGATGTTCAACCAAACAGCAGTGTTTCTGTTATTTACTCACTGTGTCTCTCGCTTCTCCTGTCCTACTGACATAATGCAACTATTTCTGTTTTTCTTCTTCAATTTTTTCCTCCATCAGTTAAAGATAGACACTTAGTGCCCTATCGGCTGAAAGCGGCATGCCCTCTCGAGCTGCGGCATATGCGCATATGCGCACACACACACACACTCTCACAGTGTGACAGCAGAGGTGTAGAGCTGAAGGGACGGTTGAGCTCAGGGGGTCAGAGGAATTCCTCCGTTATTAGAGAAATCCATTGGCACAATCGCTTCATAACTGCCCTTGCGGTCTCCTCTCTCTCTCAACACTAATTAAGGAAATTAAAGTGAGCAGAGAAGCATAGAGCAGAATTAATCTTGGATTAAAGGTGCAGATTAAAAACAAACTGTGTGGCAGGATGTTAATGCTATTTATATCACACCACGATGAGACTTCATCAAAGAAAGGAAGAATTTTGCCTGAACCCTTGACCCAGTGGCTAATTAAACAGAAAGGTAATTCTCATATTTGCAGAAAAAGGCTAAAAAACAGCATAAAACCACCATTAAAATTGGCAATACACTGCATTTCAAGTCATTTGAAGTCATATAACAGCTTGCTGGGGCTTCCATGGTGCTTTTACTGTCATTTTTGAGTTCAGCAGGTCTAAAGTATGCACATTAACTTTAATTGCATGAAAAAGCCAAGCTAGGACAAAGTGCTTTTGTGTTCCACAGACGAAATAAGGATTTTATGACCAAATTTTAGCTGAATTATTTCTCTAGAGCTAAAACACTTCACCTAGTTGGCCTACAACAAAACCTACCAAAATGTGCAGAATACAAGAGCACACTATGTTGAATACTGTTACTGTAAAACATCAGATGTTGAGAAAACTCAAAAACTTAAGGTATCAACTTAAATTTAGCCTGTGCTTCAATCAAATAATACAAGAAGTTCTATGAACTCAATAATAACAATACTGTTCCTTGGGAATTTAAAGTTAAGCACTAAGATTATGTAATAGTGATGTAGAACTTTCTTAGTTTTTCTTGTGTATCAGCTTGTTGAGTAAACAGAAAAGGTCATATATATATATATACACCAAAATAAGTTGTAGATACTCATTAAAATAGAAGAACAAAAATCCCTTTAATGGTAACTTGAAACATAACAATATAATCAAATATAAAATACAATCAAAAACTCGATGAAGAGATGAAACTGCTGTTAATTTTGAATAATAAATATACGTTATCGTAAGTGCCTGTGCATCGACCAAAAATACTAATTATTCAAGCGCATTAAACTGAGCATGCTCAGAAACATATTAGTTGGATCCTCACCACCAAACTTGACAATAAAGTTCTTGCCATTTAATATTTTAGGTTGTAATGGCCTAAAAATTGACTTGATATATTGACAGCTTTTTCTACACTCAGTAGTTCAATCACCTTTGAAACAGACTTTGTCTAACAAAATGAAAGTTAGATTTTTTTTTTTAAGTTCAACTTAACCTTCCAAGTAATATCAACTTTTGCCTGTTGAATACAAAAGAAGATATTTCAAAAAATGTTGGTAACCAAACAGTTGCTGGTAGCCACTGACTTCCCTAATATGGGGTGTGCACACCTCTGGGTGTGCATTTGCATACTGCCTTCACAGCCATCAAAAAGGAAATTGTTGCATGACCTACATGCTCATTTCACTCTTCAGTTTTACACATTTCCATGTTACCTGATGGGAGTACTAGTGAATGCCGTGGGTGGGTGTGTAAATGCAGTGTGCACATATACGCAATCACCTCTTGGATCCGATTCAAATTGGAATAAAGTAAAAATAAACTAGGTACAAATGAGGTCTGATTGCACATGCATTTTTTTCTTGCTACATTCTGTTATTGGAATTCCTCTGTCATCCTTTCCCAAAGGAAAGTAAAAGAATTTCAATTGTTACACATCTCTTTAAATGCTCTACATCTGTTAGGCTCTATGGACCTTTAAAAGTATCCTAGAAGTAGTCCATATGACTCGTGCAGTATATTCCAAGTCTTCTGAAACTACACAATGCTGTGATCATATGGCTCCATCATTGGATCTGGGCACAAACACAGGCTAGATATAAGGTTTAGAGTGTTTTCTTTGCACAAGCTCATTTGACTTCATAAGGCTTGGAATATAGTGCATGAAAGTAAATGAAGAGCATTAGCATGAGAGAGTTATATTTACCCTTTTTTGATGCCCAATTTGAGCATTATGAACTGTCATTGTGTAGCAATGAACTCCGTGAAGATTCTTCAAAAATGTATTTTGTATCGGATTTTTAACATTTGTGCATTTTTTAAATTGCATGTACAAACAATGAATTACAATTTTTGGGTGAGATGTTTCTTTAACCTCATAAAGCCTACGGTATTATATGAGACATGCAACTATGCAAATTACTAATGTGTCTAAATTATCAACATGGTCAATAACCTGTTCTACACATCTTCTGCATGCCTTCTGTCATCTGATTGATTCATACTTTCTTAGCAAGTAAAAGGCCTTTTAGTAGTATGTAATAGGTTTACTTGATTGTCCATACATTATTTTTTAGAAGAAAAAACATCATGTTAAAATATGAGCATCAAATATGATAAATCAGACTCTTTTTTTGCCCACACAATATAAAAAATTGAGTTTGATCATTTAAGCAATTAAATATCAATTAATAAGACATATTAATGGGAGATATAGAGTGACAACTATTCATATGCATTTTTAATACAATTAGTCTGCTACACTGTTATAAAGTAGTCATATAAATATCAGTAACTGCACCAAATTGTATATTGTTGCTCAGTTTGGGCCTCTGAATGAAATTAGGTGGTTTTTCCTCCTCGAGTATGAGCTCCACATTCTCCTATATCGTAGGAGCCGTAAAAGCCTGATTTATGAAATATGATGCACAACAAAAACACATATCTCTGATTTTCTCCTAGGTAACAATGAGATTAAAATAGAGCGCAAATGGAGACATTTGCTGAAATCTCCTGTTTAGATTTTACTTGATTTTTTTCCCCCTCTGTGATTAAGTTGCATGACTAATGTAAGTATAAAGTGCTTCTATAAAACACTGTAGCAGAAATCACAACTGAATTTGGACACTAGAACCATCACAAACAACAACACAGAATGCAAAATCTCTCTCCTCTAGAGGAGAATGTCTCAAACTGTGCTCAGATTTGCCTAGAAACATCTGAGGCATATTGACATATCAAATGACTAATACATAACAAAATATTCCATAAGACTCCTGAGCTATGAAAGTAATAACCTTTCATTTTTGTGTCTCACTACTAGATTCACTCCAGCCGTCTGCCACATTATATGAAATGTGTTCCAACCTGGCGAAGTGTTGATGTTGACATTTTTATTTGTCATCATAACAATTTATGTGGCCCATCAGTTAATTTGCATCACCGCATGACTCATGATTCTATTGTACAGGCGGAGAGGTGGAGTGGCCATCAAGATTTATATGCTTGCACGTTTATGTGTCGCAGCGTTTGGCTCGCTTCTCTTGGAGCTGCTGTCCTTTAATTACAATCCACAGCAATTCAGGCCTGATAAATCAAGGGCAAGTTTGTATACAAACACATGCACAAGTTAACACGCATGAGTGCAGACGTGTGCTGAAAGGGTAGTTAGGTGGTACAGAGGCAGATAAAGAATGATGGCATTATGGTAATAAGTGTTATTTTGTACAGAAATGAGCACCTCTGATGGACAGGCTCATTTAGAGTCTCTGAGGAAGACTAATCAATGATAAGGTGAGCGCTATCCATTCTCTGTCTGGAAAACTATAGCAGGACTGATGAGGTGCAAATTAAAAAGCCATTAGAGAAGCATCTCCCACCGCGGTGAAAAGAGTTCTCAGGTTAGCGGTTATCTGAGGTCTGAGTGATTTATAACAATCGAGAAATCTCAAAACTCAAGATCAAAAGAAAACACATCTGGAGTCGATGTTTAGCAATAAACACACTGACGTGCTGCAGTGGTGCTTCTAAGGGCAATTAGAGTTTGAATCTTCTAAGGGCAATTAGAGTTTGAATATGGCTCACAACGTTTAGTTCCCTTATTATCATCCTCATTGGGGTCTTTCGCACCGCTTTAGTTCCAGAACTAAATGTACAGTACTAAAGTACTGGGATGATTTTGCGCGAACTATTTCCCAGTACCATTTAAAGGGTTGCATTCGCACAGACAGTGTACGTAAGACGGTCGACACACAGTGACGTCATTTGTGCGCGGCGTTCAACAATGGAAACAAAGAACAACGTTAACAACAGGAGGATGGAGGACACTGTGATCGGAGCGGTGTTTTTGTTGTCTCGCGGGTTTCACAATAATGGACATGAAATGTCGACATATAGGCTACGTAAAGAATCGACGACGTAAGACTAAGAATCTCCAACGACAACTGGCAGTGCTACATTTGATACAAGTGCATGCACTTCAGTGTCCGTCCATCTATCGCTGTTCTCCATACTTGCGAAATAAGTTGACACAATGTTTACAGTATGTTTACACGGCGTTTTAAATCATGGCGGGTGAGGGCGTTTTCGTACACGTTTGGCCAATCAGTGTCTACTTACGTCACGGGTAGTACCAGTTGTGCTGGTTAGACCCTGGCAAACGGCAAAAAGTGGGTAGTTCCACAATTAGTTCTGGTACTATGAAAAGGTTCCCGCGGTGCGAAAGGCCCTATTACGTCCGATCTTTATAAAAGTTTTTTTTTTTTTTAAAGCCAAACGTAAACTACAGCTAGCTAGAACAATAGAACTAGCTAGCAAGTATGGTAGTTAAAAAATATAGCTAAATAATAGAATGACAGATAGCTAGAATGATTATATAGATAAAAAGCTACCTAGAATGATGGCCGACTAGAACAATAGCTAGAATGACAGCTAGCTACAACAATGAGTAGATAGCTAGAATGATAGCTAACTAGGACAAGAGCAAGAATGATAGTTAGCTAGAACTAGATCAGTAGATAGATAGATAGATAGATAGATAGATAGATAGATAGATAGATAGATAGATAGATAGATAGAAATAGTCAGAAGATAGATAGATAGATAGATAGATAGATAGATAGATAGATAGATAGATAGATAGAACTATAGCTAGATATATAAGTAGCTAGCTAAAACAATAGCTAGAAGGACAGCTAGCTAGAATGATAGCTAGAACAATAGCTAACTAGAATGAGAGCTAGATGACAGCTAGCTATAACAATAGCTATAACGATGGGCAGATAGCTAGCTAAAGCAATAGACCAGTAAACAGTAGAACGATATCTAGATAAATGTTCGCTGGAATGAAATGACAGCTAGCTAGAACAATAGCTAACTACAACAAGAGCAAGAATGATACAGCTAAAACTGTAGATCAGTAGATAGATAGCTAGAATGACAGCTAGAACTATAGCTAGCTAGATAAATAGCTATCTAAAACAATAGCTAAAGGACTACTAGCTAGAATGATAGCTAACTAGAATGAGAGCTAGAACGACAGCTAGCTATAACAATAGCTATAATGATGGGCAGATAGCTAGCTAAAGCAATAGACCAGTAGACAGTAGAACTGTTACGGGGCGAACGAGACGTGAGACTTACGGATCCATTTGCAAAGCTTTAATAGGAGACAGCGACGTGGTCATAAAACAGGCATGGGTCAGACAATGGCAAACAGGTATATTGAGGGCAAGACAGAAGAGTAATCCAAAACGGGCGTGGTCGATAAGCGGCTAACAATATCCAGAGGGCTTGACATGAGGGGTAATCCAATAACACGAGCTAGAGTCCAGGCGAGGTGCAAACACAGTCCGAAACAGCAGGCAAAGGGTTAACTTAAGATAAACAGGCAAAAATCAGGTACCAGGAAATCAGAAAACACGGCGAGACTAGACTAAGACTAGAACTAGGAACTAGAAAGTAACACAGGGGAAAAGGCTCCGTAAAGTAGCTATCACACGATGAGCGATAAGCGCTAAACAATACTCTGCAGTGAATGGTGTTTGAGTGAGTGTTATATAGTGAATGTGTGATTGATGTCAGCTGTGTGCAATCAGTGCTGTGTGCAATCAGTGCAATGGATGATGGGATATGTAGTCCGGGTGGCTGATGGGATATGTAGTCCGGGATGACATGCAACAGTTTGTGTTGTGCGAGAGTCAATTTAATGAAAGGGTGACCTCTGGTGGTGATTGAACGGAAGTCCATGGACAGGATTCGTGACAAGAACGATATCTAGATAAATGCTAGCTAGAATGAATGACAGCTAGCTAGAACAATAGCTAACTAGAACAAGAGCAAGAATGATACAGCTAGAACTGTAGATCAGTAGATAGATAGCTAGAACGACAGCTAGAACTATAGCTAGCTAGATAAATAGCTATCTAAAACAATAGCTAGAAGGACTGCTAGCTAGAATGATAGCTAGAACAATAGCTAACTAGAATAAGAGCTAGAACGACAGCTAGCTATAACAATAGCTATAACGATGGGCAGATAGCTAGCTAAAGCAACAGATAGATAGCTAGAAAAATAGCTAGCTAGAACAATAACTAAACCGAGAGCTAGAAGAATTGCTAGACAGATAGATAGCTAGAACAATGGCTAGATTGCTAGCTAAAATGAGTTAACTACAACAAGAGGAAGAATGATAGCTAGCTAGAATTATATAGATAGCTAGAACAATAGATATAACGTTAGACAGACAGACAGACAGACAGATAGACAGATAGATAGATAGACTAAAATGCAAAGAAATCTAAAGAAATGGATGTCCCTTATGTATGCCTGCTGTGATTGCATAATGTCAACATGACCTTGAGTGATTTTTTTTAAAGGTTTCATTTGTAATTTCAGTGTTGAGTTGTTGTTGGTTTTTTTTTTTGTTTTGTTTTTTTTACAGTACATACTGTTCATTGTTCATTTAGATTAAAACTAGAAAGATGTGGTACTAAACTTTATCTTGCAGTGAGTTTAATACATACCCACACAGTATTTAAATTTTTTTTTTTGTTATTGCACTGCAAGCTTACAGTGTGAATAGAATGTGATGAGAATGACAGACTGCGCACAGAAGAATTATACAAATACATCTTTCTTTTGCCTTCAAAAACATATGCAACAAACATACAGAACAACCAGTGACAATAATGACTCTTTTGATCTGGTTCTTTTTCATTTAATCAGTCAACAGACTGTAATACTAACTGGATGTTCATTCGACATCAACTCGATAGATAGTTATGCTGTAAAAAAACGATGATTTTGATTCCAGTATTTTTATTACATCATTATATATACTATAATTCCCATTCCCAGTCGCCACTTTAATCTGGGTTGATAAGCACCAATATACTTGACTTGCTGCCTGTGAAAATAAAACCTCTATCTTCCATTTTTAATGCCAATGGCTATTTACACAATGTGTAACAGAATATTAAACCAGTATATACAGTTTGCATCTAATGAAAATAGCAACACATAGCGTCCTTTTCAGACAAAGTGCAAATAGACATGCCACTCGCACAGTGTAAATTGAAGTGGAAAGCTATTGTACTTAGCATACATCGCCTAAGCAATGGTAGGTGGAGGGAAAACAGCTTTTTCAATAACTCAAGGTCAGTTATTTGCACTTGGTGTGAATAGATATTGCCTTTTCTAATTTCCTTGATCACGTCAACATATTCTGCTCATTATGCATGTATGTTTCCTGCCCACAGCCATTTCTAGTGTTATAATAAATAGGCAATTCAAAGTCATGCCATAGCTATACTCGCCTTACAAGAAGTACGCCTTCCTCTCTATGTTCAGCTTCGGCAAACTGAATCCTACTCCATCCACTTTGCGAGACATGAAATATGATTTATTCATAAGCTCAATAATTATGACTCTCCGTGGAACCCTGCGATTGAGAGATTAGACCCCGACTGTTTTTGTGTCTTCACAGAGAATGAAGATCATATATTCAACTAACACTGCAAAATAAAAACAGCATGTAAACTCCTCTGTTTGGCACATAATTACACAAAAAATATTGTTGGCTGGATGAAAGGACATTTTTAAGCAAAGAACAAACTGCATTTGTGTTTCTGAGAAGACACAGAGAATGTAGATGACTTGCATGCATGCGGTAACTCGCATTTAATGCAAAACTGCAATATATGTGCAGCTTCTTTTCAAGAAGGGATCATTTTAATTTCATCAGTTTTAAACATGAAGAGCTGTTCACAGCACAGGTTACTCTCCACATGAAGATGAGCGAGGGCGAAACATGTTTATGCGCATTAAGTGAACCGTTCATCTCGCGAACGCGCCATGTAGAAGTTAATTGGAAAATGACATGCTTTTTAAAAAATGTTTCTGGCTGCAGGAAGAAAGATACCAAATATATAGTTGTGACAGTTAATTGATTCTTCAACCGGAGTCAAAGACAGCTTAGCTCGATTAAAAGCAGAGCATTGTTTGCACAAGAAACATCATCTTGGGAACGCTATCAAATTAAACACATTTATAAGCTAATTTGTTTGGATGCATTGAGGCTGGGTGTAAACAACATGCTTAGTGCATTCCAATTGTGCTGGAAAAGTGCCCGATACAATGCTATATTTGTCGTGTAAATCTAATGCATTCTCGCTTGTTTTCACAGAATGCATACACGTATCCCAGACCGCTGCCAGGGGCCTGGATGGGAGACATATCCACAATTCACTGAGGGGCCCGTGAGAAAATGCACCACTGCTCATTATGATTTGCAGCGGCTCAGATAAAGCCTTTCCTGGATTTTGCTTCCGCGCTGAGAATTTTCCAACACAAAAGGAGAAAGAATTAGGCTGAATGGGCGGCACACACATCCTCAACCCCTTATTTTGGACTCTTTTAAATGTGGAGCAAGCGGATACGGCATCAATTTGACACCCCGTCCTCGAGTCGAACCGGTTTGGTTTTACTTCAACCAACAATAAACGTCCCCCACAATGGGGCTTGCGAGCACGCAAGGCAAATCCATCCGTAATGAACCAGCGAAATGTTTCTCGAAGCTGCCGTTGTTGCTGTATGATAGCTACTATTGTACCTGCTCTCCCCAAGGAATTGACGCCCACTGTCCAACTTCTTTTTGTGTTGTGTAGTGATGTGACAAACTATTCATGCCGAACCATCGGAAACGTCTCTCGTGATCAGTGGACGGTAATTGCTCAATTGAGCACAGCCCACGAGGATGTTTCTGAGGACTACATAACAACAGAAGATATTTTTGACTGCTGTGAAAACATCATGAAGAAAAGTCTGTTTGCAAGGACTGTAACCTCACCACGAGTTCCCACTGTGATTTGATTTCAACCCTGGCTGAACTTGGACACA